GAGTTCCTTCCGTTAGAGTGGAAATAACTTGTCAGGTGGAATCCCCTCATGTTATTTGATATTTGAATTTTTTCCCCTTGGTATTTGGAATAGGCTTTTGCCAACCCGGAGGACTGCACAGGCTCTGGCAAAGGAGAAAATGCCAAGAAGTATCTCCGGACAGATGACAGAGTGGAACGTGTGCGGAGGTGAACCCACTGTCTCCTGAAATGATTTACTTGATGGAAGGATTTTGGTCATGGAGTTAAGTGAGGATGTTGGGGTCTTAAGAAAGAAGGAGGAGAAGTCAATTAGCTTACCTAGTCCACATAATTGTAAAAAATTAGGGATCTGGACGTCTCCAGCGCTCACTGTGACTGCACCTATTTCCAATTTAGCTTTTCTATGCACTTTGTTGGGGTTAATGACTCTGTTCTGTGTAGGGATTTATCAGAAGTAATGACAGGTACAAGGTGACATGAGGACGGTAGATTCTTGCCGTTCTGTCATCTTTCTCCAGAAGTGAAACTGTCAGCTTGTGTAAAAGGTTGAAGAACTAGGTATTTTTGGATAAGATTCAAATTATGAACTTGGGAAATCTCTCCCTTTCCTTTCTCTCTCTCTCTTTCTCTCTGTCTCCCTCCCTCTCTCCTTTTTAGATATTGTGTTTAATGTACTGAGAGTTCAGTGAACAATGAAAAGCAATAGGCCAAGATACCATCTACAGTTTCCTAATAATACCATTAATAGACTTCTTTTAAAAGCACATTGAATTCTAGTTCTGGAGGTATATTTCTTAATCCTTGTCATAAAGTTATGTAAATCACAAACTTTTTTTTTCATCTTTACTGAGGTATAATTAACAAATAAAATTGTAAGATGTTCACAGGGTACAAGATCATTTGATAGACGTTTACATTGTGAAAGGATTCCCTGTATTGAGTTAATTAACACATCCATCACCTCACACGTCTGACCTCCCCTCCCCTCTTTTTTGGAGAGGACATTTAAGTTCTACTCTCATAGCAGATTTCAGTTATACAGTAACACAATACAGTGTTATCAGCTACAGTTACCATGCTGTCCATTAGATCCTCAGACCTGGTGCATCTTAAAACTGACAATTTGTACCTTTTTATCAACCTCTCCTTATTTTCCCCACCAGCTAGCCTGGGAGTCACTTTTCTACTTTGTTTCTATGAGTTTGATTTTTTTTTTCTTTTTGCAGATTCTGTGTATAAGTGAGATCATACAATATTTGTCTTTCTCTGTCTTACTTCATTTAGAATAATGCCCTCCTGGATTCACCCAAATGACAGGATTTCCTTCCTTTTTAAGGCTGAATAATATTCCATCGTGTGTGCATGTGTATATACATACCATGTTTTCTTTATCTGTTCATCTGTTGATGGACACTTAGGTTGTTTCCATGTCTCGGCTACTATGAATAATGCTGCAGTGAATGTGGGAGTGCAGATATTTCTTTGGGATAATGGTAATTCTATTTTTAATTGTTTGAGGACCTTCTGTACGGTTTTCCATGGTGGCTGTACCAGTTTACATTCCCAGCAACAGTGTACAAGGGTTCCCTTTTCTCCACATCCTGGCAAGCATTTGCTGTCTCTGACCTTTTTGACAGTAGCCATCCTAACAGGTGTGAGGTGATACTTCACTGTGGTTTTGATCTGCGTTTCCCAGATGATTAGTGATGTTGAGCACGTTTTCATGTACCTCTTGGCCATTTGGATGTTTTCTTTGGAAAAATGACTATTTGGGTCCCTTTTAAAAGTTGTGTTGTTTTATTTACTTATTAATTTTTGGCTGTGGCATCGCATGAGTTACTTACATATTTTGAATATTAATCCCTTATCAGATACGTGGTTTGCAAATATTTTATCCCATTCCACAGGTTGCCTTTCCATTTTACTGATGGTTTCTTTCACCAAGCAGAAAGTTTTTGGTTTGACGTGGTCTCACGTGTTTATTTCTGCTTTTGTGGTCGAATCCAAAAAAATCATTGCCAAGACCAGTATCAAAGAGCTTACCCTCTATGTTTTCTTCTAGGAGTTTTATGGTTTCAGATTTTACATTCAAATCTTTAATCCATTTTGAGTTGATTTTTGTGTACAGTGCCAGATAGGGTTCAGTTTCATTCTTTTGCATTTGGAAATCTAGTTTCCCGAACACAGTCTGTTGAAGAGACTGTCCTTCCCTATTGTGTATTCTTGGCTCCTTTGTCAAAAATTAATTGACTATATATGCATGGGTTTATTTCTGGGCTCTCTGCTGATCTGTGTGTCTGCTTTTATGCTAGTACGATGCTGCCTTGATCACTCTAGCTTTGTAATATAGTTTGAAATCTGGAAAGATGATGTCTCTGCAAGGTCGCTTTGGATATTTAGGTTTACTTGTGGTTTCATATAAATTTTAGGATTGATTTTCCTATTTCTCTAAAAAATGCCATTGGGATTTTGAGAGGGAGCACATTAAATCTGTAGATCGCTTTGGATAGTGTGGACATTTTAACAATGTTAATTCCTCC